AAAACAATATGTCAGCCGTCGCCGTCCTAAACCAGCGATATGATTTTACTCATAGAATCACAATTGCAAGGAAATGAACACTAAATACAGCTATCCCGGTCAGCAATCGAATCATCAATTTTTATGAGTGATGTAACTGTATTTTCCACCTATTTGCTTAGTGGTCCGAGAGTGAATGTTGTCAAGTTCGAGAGTGTGTTTTGACGTACAGCGACGTGAACAATATTGCTACGATTTTATGCTTGAACATGTGATTCACCCAAAACAACAACGAACTTGAAACAAAGGAAACCGTCCGATCTAAACAACTTTCGTCAGTGAAAATCAAGTCTTATCGCCCTTGCGTTTTCGAGCGAGAAAAGGACGAGGCCAATCTACCATGATTGTTTGGTTATATCATCAATTCAACCAAGCTGTTAGATAGGTTTATTTAGCCCAGGCATTCTCCGTGTTAAAACAGGCGAAACTCTCCGTTTTTTTACGCAATCTGGGAAGTTCGAATTACTAAACGAAGTACAGGACGACGACGCTAAAATATCCAAGAACCAACACATACCAAAAATTATAACTCAAACGTGAATATTCGTGGTGTATTTAAGTCTAACCGGACCGGGAGTGGGAGTTTGTTACTATTCTAAATATCAAAACATATTTTAGTAGAAGGTAGTAACAATAAATTAAAGTCTCATTGTTGTTTGAAGCCTTTGGCATGTGAAATTATACGCGTAATATTATGAATTTAACTGATATTTATTTGTAAGTTTGTTAACAATGGCCGGAAATTACCGATCATTACCGATTACTTTTCAGGATCTTGCAGTGTCTTCAAACCACTGTAAGGTACACGGGATTCTCCGTTATTGATTTCACACAATCAATATTCGATATGAAGCATTTACCATGAACACAAAATTGTGACCTTTGCCACTTGAATATTCACATGTGTTATATTCAAATTAGAGCCCGATTTTTGATTGGCTGAGAGATACATCTCTCTAAAATATGGAGGTTGAATATTTCAATGTTGTGCTTCATACAGGGTTAGAGTCGTGGTCGCAGTGGTCTCAATGGACTTCGTGTACTAGTTTACCGTCGTGTTCCAGAACTCGATACTGTCCGTACGGTCCGGATGATCCAGGTAACTTAATTACATACGTGGACGAGTAGCGTGAACTGCTGATTTTGTGTGTGCATTTGTCCGGTTCATTGCATCAGTGACATTCTAATGGCAACACAAATGTTTAGTTTACGACAAATCATGGTCTAATGTGAACACTGCATTGTCTCTATATCGAAATCTAAATCATGCATTGGGTATTAAGAAAGTCGTAACATTCAAAACTATTAGTTATAAATTATTAACTCTAATCTAATGTCTTACTAATAGACGGATGCCCCGGAGTCGGTGAGCAGACATCTCGGTGCGTTTCGCAATTATGCGTTGGAGAAGATTCGTCTAGCCTTGTTGATGCAAACAATGCATATGGGGGCAATGTGGCACATGTCATGCAGCATTTAAATGTCGAAGGAAATTACCTTGGTAATGTATTGATTATTTTTTACAGATTCAGACAATTCTTTGTTTTAAGATTGCGCTAGATATTCTGTAAGCAATTGGTTTATTAACTTGAATTTTATAACTTTCAGTTTCTAGGCAAACGTGAACACCATAAGCCGGATTTTGTGTTTTGTTTGCAGGTTCTCTGTACATATCATAAGTTGAATTCATTAATCTCATACTTTTGTCTACGCCTAATTCATATATTTATTGATTTTTAGACGATGATACTTACTTAGCTGCGAACGATTACATGAACAAAGACAAAGACAAAGAAAAGAAAGACATGGAACTAAATACCGGCGGCGGCATAGCTGGTGGAGTGGCGGCTGGTGTAATAATTCTAATTGTAATAATTTGCATATACAGAAAGTAAGTAACAAAAACATCGAGAACAAAAATATATATTTACCACTCCCGTCTTTTCTACTGTTTTATTGTATATAGATATGAACATTTTCGATTGTGTATTGATACAATGAGGTCAACAACCTAAGTTATGATTCGTTACTAAAGAAGACTCGCAACAGTTTCCTGTGTTCAGCTCCACATAATATTGTAACGTTGCGTTCATTGCGACCAAGACTGGAAATGTATCTTGGTCAAGCTGCAATTTTGTGCTGACACTGAGGATTTGAATTTACATTATGTACATAGGAGCAGTAACTGACAGGCTGTATTCGTGACATCAACGCACGTGGCCTTCCCTAGCTACACATTACGTAATTCACTTAGCAACACGAATGCGCATTAGAATGACACGTTTCGTATATTTCTTGATTCAGGAAGAAGTCCGGTTCTTCAGAAACAACTAGTGAATACAAACCAAGGAGTCGAAGAGTGGACGACGACGACGACGATTATTACAATGACTACTAATACATTGAATTAAATCTATTCACTACGTACTGTGAACACAAGTACACCCAAAGAAAACAAAGTGTACTTCACTCTTTTTTTTTCTCTCTGAAGAAGGAAGTCAATGACGTCAACGTACATTGAACAACTCATACACATTCAAATTTAAATGAATTTGAAGCAATTTTTTTCTTTTCTGTATAAATCATAATGTTATATTTTCAAACTATTTGTTCTTCGTATCGTTCGTTTCTTGGGTTTGTAACGACTGAATTCTGAATGAATCAGCAGGATGGTCCCTTCTCGGTCAGTTACCCTGCGGGTATATATACTGTGATAAGATATACACAGTCTTTAGGTAAAACGCTACCCACAATTATGCTATCTTCATTATATTATTTACATATTTGATGATGTTAGTTGAAAATGATATAATAAAAAAATATTGGAACATTTTAGAAAGTCCGGGGAAATGTGATATACACTACGCAGTAAAAAGGCTTGTCGTGTTGTCTTTTTCCACTGTGTTCTGTAGCACGGTAATATCCCGTTTGCATTACATAAATATATAATGTATTCTTGTATTGTTGGTGGAGACGTTTTCTTCTTTATGAATGTCCCTATATCACCTGTCCGATTCGACAGACTGTTATGAACCAGTGTACATTTTGTTGATACATCTGTATTCTGCCGTAAGTGTTAATTGTTCAGCAAATACTATCGCTATCTTCTCAGTTTAGTTATTTTTGTGACGTTCATATTATCTGATTACATAGTGTTTTTAATTATCAGGATATTTTGGTTGTGTCGGGAACCCATTTGTTGATGTTATCTGCTGCTGCCGAATTGGATGCGGGAATTTTGTTTCCTTTTTCATATGCGCAAAATAAGCCCTTATTACGCCGATTTCCGAGCCGTCTCCAACGCGAGTTATGTTATTGGGGGGGGGGGGGTTGATCGGGTTACATTGTTGTTCTCGGGTCGCAACAACCTGAAATTGCGTAATCCCACGAAATTGAAGATTTACATGACATACTGTCACAGTGCGTTTTAATTGTACAGCTGAACATATGTGAATTTCCGGGGTGAATATCACAATCTCTCTTAGATATATATATTCACAGTGACGGATCTGGGGGAGGGGGGTTCTTGGGGTCCGGGGCCCCGTTGAAAAATGTATTCAATTTGTTTTTGTATAATATAAACAAATCATTAACTTAGTCTGGCGATTTTAAAGTTTGGAAAAAAATCATGTAACCGCTTCTGTATAAGCTATTGAATGCGTACATAATCTACTACAATTCTTGTATAAATTAGGTCACGTATTCGTACTGTGCCCTTTTCTGAATATGTATATTCCCATTATCTTCAAGAATAGACGATTTTCCGTTCACTACGAGATATCGCATATCGAACATTACGTTCGAACGTCTGCCGCAAAAATCCTCTTTACAGTTCAATGCCGACTATGGCGTTGAAATATCTTCACTTCATTAAAAGTGTCCATCATCAAATGTATATAGCACATTGGTAATCGTGGAATTACCCACAATGTCAGAAAACCTCACATTGTCGAGACCTTACTGCGAAATCCTATCCCCGCATTAGAAGCAAGAGTGACCATAAGACAACTACCACAAGTGACATATCTATCAGCCACGATGAAAAATATTAAGCTCCTATTTGATTTACCTATTTGAATATCCCACTATTCTTGTCAATGTAAACAGACATGTCATAATACTATTTCTTGATGACATAATTTGTTTTAATAGTAAAACAATAATTATTTTCACTTACATATATTCACATGCTGAGTTAATTTGGAAATAAACAATGGCAGTGTACAGGTATACTGCTACCATCAAGAACTTTTGGTCTGAAAAAAACAACCTTGCGTTAATTGTAACGTTTTGTAAACAAGATACAATAAGCTTTTGAAAAGAATTGCCTACATTCACGCTACAATAAGTCAATAAATCGTAGGAATTTGTAGCGATTTTACGTGACTTATGCTCTCAGAATCACATCTTCGAAAGTTATAATACTTATTGGGTTGGCAAGGACGGTAAAGTTATACAATGGAAATCCATTAAAGACATACGAGGATTTTAGATATGGACTGAGAACACCCAGACCAACAAACCACATTAACATAAACTTACTTCTTGATTTTCATTATACTCGTTCCCTAAGCACAGGCTTGATGAAATCTATTTGCAATGATTTCGACAAAGCCCGGAACTTGCATTTACTGACTTGGCGCAATGTGCTCCCTAGTAAAAGACGCAAGGCACTACGGTCGACTTGGCCAAAGATTTTTGGCAGATACTCTCAGCCCCAGAGGCAAAGATTAGAGCCGCCTTAGTATTCAGAGTTCAGTTTATGAATAATCCAAGATGGAATGAATGGAAAAACAATGAAAAGGGAAATAATAGCTTTTAGTAAATACTTTTGACTTACCAAGCAATATGCGGTGTCATTTTTTTACACATGCGTAACCAACCTAGCAACGGGAGAAGACAATGACATATGTTAAACAGCTTTTTAGAAAATCGCGGTGTGCGTGTGTGTGAGTACAAACAGAGACAGCTGGAAGAATTATACAAAAGAGCTGAGAAACGCAGTTTATTAGTTACAAAATAGTGTTTTTTCCATAAAAATGAACTGAAAAAATGGTATGTATGTGTTTCGCCGAGTAAATTTGACAGTGACGTCGTTTTCAATCCCAAAATACTCAAAAATATGCCGCTATAGCCGTGGAAAAGAAGAATTGCATGATATTACTGCAAACTATTGTGAATACATTCAATGCTGAATTAAATTATTGTTTTGTTGTTTGCATATGCCCTTGATAAACCCCAACATTTGTCATCTTTATTAGATGAGTTTCTAAGGATGTACCAGAATACACCCCATTACGTTATATTACGAATAAGCAACACGAGTGATGACATTTCGGCACTCTGCCACAGATCCAAAGTACATGTACTTATAAACCTTACTAAAACTAATTGTTTTAATGTGTCTTTTTATGACAAAAGATCTTTATTATGTTGACATAAGCTTTCGGTTCCTCCACGAAAACAAAAAATTGAAGCCTCCGTGAGAACCGGATCGAGATATCTTCCACATGTAACTGATTAAGTTTTTGTGTGACCCTATCGGAAATTTCAAAGTTTTTTTGGGGTTGTGCTGTAATTATAACTGGCTCATTATACACAATTCTCGTGTCAATTACATTATGCGCATCAAGCGGTAAAGTGTACGTGTCATGCGCCAGCTGTCATTCAAACAGCGACATTCGTGTTTGCGGTCTCCATTGCCGCCAGTTGTTTTCCGCATTTTCACTCACGCAATAGCCAAATCAATCCAAACAGAGTCACAATTATCCTGTTTTGTTTCAGCAACAAAACACAGACAACACACATGTATTTATACTGTGTTACCATTGCGGTTATGAGGTCTAATGTATCTCCAGTAAATCTCAAATAATTAACTCCAATCACAGTCTGTTGTTTGATTATTTCACACGGCTATTATTGTACAATCACTTATGTTGTTTTGATGCGACAAGAGTAGCTGCGGATTTATACCCCCATGTAGATGAGACGATTTAAGGATTAATGTCAGGGATAATAATGTAAACTGTATAATAGCCGTTCGCTAGATTTATGCCTATTACTGTGTCCATTAATGATAAATTACTGACGGATTCCTTAGTATGTCAATCCTTGGATTGCATGGGGTTTTTGAACCACCTCTAGTGTGGAAATATTTTCAGTTGTCAAATTAATAATCGATGGCTAGTACAAACTAATATGTAGCGAGTTACATTTAGTTATCAAAAAAGCCACCGACTGATGGCGTGCATTCATGTGATATCACTATGCAGATAGGGAGAACAGTAAAATGATATATCAATATATTCAGACAGGGGTTGGGAATTGAAAATATTTATACAGCTTTCGGCACACCGATTGGCCAATAAGCGATTAGTGCAATTACCCATACCCAGCATCTAGCGCTGCCACATCACAGAATTATTCAATCAGTCTGTAAGAACGTACATTTAACATTGTGCAGGATTGTTACAGGTTGTCTACAGGTAAGAATCCATCATATTATATATCATGTCTGAATTTCACATGTGTTACTATTTTGCTATGTATGAATTTCCCCCAGTCTATATCATAATACATATGCATATTTCCATCATAATTCGACTTAACATTTGACACATTGACACTATCATTATATTTGAGATGTTTTTAACAGCATTAAATCTGATTATCGGCCAAACAAATATCCATTATAAAGCACAATTATATACAATTTAACTAGGAGCAATATGCGATTAGGCATTGATTTTCTTCTTTGCCTAATAACCGTTATCATGTTATAATTGCATGGTTCCTAGCCACCTCATTAACATAATCGAATTTTAAGTTTTTGTTTGTGTTTTAAACAAAGTTTGGGCAAGGGGTTATAGTATTAGGGATGGGCACAGCCGAGGGCGTGGATCACTATCTATCATGATGCAACTTGTTTTTTATAGCTTGTATGTATGGCCACCAGTTGCGTTAAATTTGTGACAAACTGTCAGGTGCTCTAAATTCGAAAATGACGATTAACGTAAACATCCCACCTATTTCATTACGTACATAAACCCGTCCATGTCGATCCTGGCCACACAGCATAGCCATGCAAAGTCCCTCAAGATCTGGCTTCACAGATGGTGAAACCCGTAACAGTAATTGGGAAGCATTACAAACAGTGAATAGTACTGGCAAATAACTTAAACCCATAGTTTAATATAGTTTTTTGAGCACACAAAAAATATTTAGTGTACTTCGAGCAATACTACATTTTTGTTGGGTTTTGGGTACCTTGAAATTTATCATGAGTAAATCAACGTTCATGAACATTAAAACAACGCGATGGCAGTGTCAATGTGCATAGTATGTTTACGCATCGAAGTAGTTGATAAATCGTCGCATTCCCCAGTATTTGGTTGAATAATGTTTTTGTTTTTTTCAATTTCTATTCCAGGATGTGGCAATGGACATTACTGCTGGTAATGACAACGTTGATTTCAAATGGGGTAAGACGACGCATTCTTGCTTATGTTTGTATGTAATATTGATCGCTGCATATGATGTTGTATCTAGTTCATATTGTATGTTAGTGTTCTATGTGATAATCTGTATACAAACAAAAACAACACTACTCGCATAATTTAAAACAGTTATTCAGTATGCACCACAACACCCCGCGCCGTCATTACGAAATGTGGGGGTTATAATGGAAAAAAGTAATAAAGTTCAGCATTGCATCACTATCACAGGATTGTATTGTCACATGACCAATAACATTTCTTCTGATTCTCCGTCATTGTGAAAAGTTGTGCCATTGCCTAAAATATTATTCTGTCATTTGCATATAACTATGTCCAGTTATTTGAATACATTTATGTATTTTTGATATCCGCAATAACATACAATTAATAAACTAAACATAACATCCGTGGCGAAATTAATCCATAC